ATGATCTGTTTGGTGTTTGGAGTCAAACACTTCAGAGACATATTTTGTATATATCTGAGACCTATAATATATTGATGAAGAACAGTATAATAGGGGACCTTTAACACATGTAAAGGTTTCTTTTAATTTGACTTTTTTTTCTTATAAACCTCTAATCACTGATTGTTGTCCTCAGGGTCCTGGGATGTCTCGCCTCCTGGAGCTATGGGCTGGTCTATTGAATGTGACGCTGGCCGGCGCCCCCTGCAATGCCACGCCGCCTCTGACGGATGGCGAGATGCGGCGAGAGTACCAGGGCTGCCAGAACTTACCAACTGCACTCTGGCATCAGAAACACAGGAGGACCAACTGAGAGAGAGACAGAGAGACACTGAGACTGACTGCGAATGGGGAGATAGAGAGAGAAATCATTTTGGACACACACAGAACATATAACAAGTGTACAAACATGCATATTTGCCAGTGTGTGTTATCTTAGGACTATATTTGTGGTGTGCTTGGTGGACACTGGTGTATGTGAGTGTGTTTTCTGTCCTAACTCGGAAAGCAACCATGGCGATGACAGCCCATCCCAACGGGAGTGTCCTGAACACCATGTGAACAGTTTGTTTGAGTGTGTGTTTGTGTGAGTGTGTACTGTATGTGTGTGATTGTGAGTTCAGCAAAAGGATAACCACTCTCGCAGACCATTGCTAGCTTAAGCTTGGGTCAGTGTGTGTGTGTGCATGTGTGTACATCTCCTCGGCACTTTAAGACTTCAGAGCCAATCATTCTTTTTTTCTTTTTCTTCAAGTGTTATTTCTTCTTCCTTATGTTCTTCCTTTCTTGTTTCACTCTTCTCCTCATATGGTCCTTTGCTACGAGCTCCTTTCCTCCCAACCTTTCCTTTCGGGATGTCCTCCTCTAACCTCATACCCTCTCCTTCTCCATTCCCCTCCTCTCTCCTTCTCTTCCTTATTACATTTCATCCTGTTTATTGTATTGGCATTCACTTCCTTGCTTCATCCATCACTTTTGATCTTTCTTTCTGTCCTCTTTCTCTGCCTTTTTTGGCTGTCAGTTTCTTTCTATCTCTATTCAAAGAAAGACATTTGAGCTGACAAAACCCTTAAACATAAGTGAGTTTTGTGAATTTAGAATCTGTGCACACGGAATTCCTAACAACAACAACGCAAATATTTGATTAGTTTTGTCCTAACCTAAAGAAGAGGCAAAGAGAAACTGTTTGGCAGGGATCATGATTAAGATATGAAGCACTGAGACTGCCTTCACTGCTACACAGACTGGCTATGGCATTTCAATAAGGGCACAAGTGTGTGTTTGCTCCATCACATACTGTAGGCAGGCAACACATGAAACATGCACAATATTGACCCATCCCTACACTAACAACATACATGTTGACCTATACCTCGGTGGTACTTTGTGATATTTGTCTGTACATTACCTCCTGTCATGTCTCCATCTGTAACCTTTTAATATTCTGTAAACCACGGCTCAATGTACGTACCCTGCCTGTTGTGTTTTGTACTGATGTCTGTCCAGTTGTACTGATCTGTTATACATTAGAGATATGTTTGTTAAAGAGATGAAAGCTGATGGGGAGAACAACTTTCTCCCAATTGTGTGGGACATTTTGGGCCAGAACTGTGTCCAACAAGTTGACATATTCACTGTTTGTGTGATGATTTGTACAGAGTATATCTAGTTGCATGCTGCAAAACATGAAATCTAGTCAATAAAGTACATTTAGAACCAGTGAAGTACATGGGATTTATTTATTTGGCTAGTAACACATTCAGGTTATTTACATTGTTAACTTAAGTCTTGTATGAAGTGTAACCAACAACGTAACATGGGTACCAATTTAAACCCAAATAAAGGTATTTTCCTAAGCTTGGCCAAGTAGTTTCCTGAGAACTCAGATATTGTATGCGTGCAATGAGAGGACCCTGACTTGCTGCTGCGTGGAACAGACACTTTGAGTTTATAATTGTAGCGTCCAATGTCTGACTTGAAATGACCAATTCAAATTTGATAGCCTTAAACTTTAAGGTAGGGTAGGTAATTCACTTATTTTTTTGATATTCCATGGAATGCCTCGGCCCGCGGCAGATAACTGGATGGCCTACCTGCCTGTCAGCCTTCCATCTCGTTCACAAACTTATCTCCATTGGTCATGTGCACGTTCGTGTGTGTTGGAGGAGGGGCTCTGTAAGGAAGTCTGAAGGAAGGGGCAGATTTGTTCCGGTTGTGTACTTTCAAATTACTCTACCTGGTTTCTCCATTCTTACCTACCCTACCTTTAATGAAATTCAACAAACTATTATATTTGTATATTTTTTCTATAATCTCTTAGACTATATTGACAATGCGTATCATCAGTAATACCAACACACAAACAACGTTTCTACAAACGGAATGACAGTAAAGTTAACATTAAAGTGCACCTTTCATGCTATTTTTAGCATAGGTCTCAGATGTATACAAATATATAAAAAACATGTCTATGAAGTGTTTTGCTCAAAATACCAAACACATCACCCATTCTAGCCATGCCTCATATCCCTCTATTTCACTTCCTGTTTCAAAAGTGCTGATTTTGGGTATAAAGCTTTAAAAAAAAAAAGAGAATTGATAAAAAAAAGGAGGGGGCTGAGCTCATGCGGGACCCGGCAGCTACTTTCTAAACTAAATACTGCCGTGATGAAACGCCATATCATGGATTATCAAGGATTATTTCTGAAACAGTATGGAGCTCAAAGGCTTTCTCTCTTGCTGGTTATACCACAAGGTGAGTTCCTTTTTATATCCTGCTTCTTCACACACATGCTCTCCAGTACAGGTTAGCTCTGAGTGTTAGCGATGCTAATGTCAACACCGACCATATTACGTCCAAAACAGTCGGGCATTGTTTCTGATAGCAACGTTTCTGATAGGGCCGTGGGTCCACATTTCCGATATTACGTCATATCGGACGCAAATCTGGATCAGCTCCGTTGTAGCCCCGTTTTTAGAGATTTGGGTACGGAGGAAAAGAGAGAGGGTTTTATTTTCTGACACTGCGTGAGTTCCCTGACACACCGGGGACACATCTTTATGTATAAAAGACATCAAAAAGTGCATTTTGCATGATAGGTCCCCTTTAA